ATTTCTAGCATCACGATACAGATTCAGTGATCTTAGGGGTTTCACGCTCAAATATAACTTTTTTGGAGGTCAGCAGTTTGTCAGTGAATATTCTAGGAGGATCTAAATTTCCTGCGTAATGATAAGACTCCTGACGGGGGCTGTAGCTGCCCATCTGCAGGACGTACAAAACTGTAGCTGCTGGTATGTGTAGAATTAAAAGTAGTTTACAATCAAAAAGTAGTACACAATCAAAATCAAAAAGAAAAGGAAAAAGGTAATGTATAACAGGTTAAAGTCAGTTTTGCCAGGTTGCTTGCATTGACCTTTTTTTTTTCTTTTCTTTTTTTTTTTGTTGCTCTTATTTGAGTCGGTTTTGCAGTGAATGTGGAGCTAGTCCAGCTATGCTGACTGGGAAGGAGGAGGGTGTCCCCTTTCATCTAGTGGTAAATCTTTTGACTGTGTGTGCAGCCAGGGCTGGGAAGGCTTGGTGCAGAGGAGGCACCAGCTGCAGACAGTAGGACAGGAACACAAGAGCTCTTCCTTCCTCCAGCGTCTTTTGGGTTTTCAGTGGGTTAGTGCAGCGTGATGGAGGGAAATGTATCAGTTACAGACGTGGGGAACTGGTACAAAAGGATGGTGTGTGTTTGTTTTTTGTTTTTTTTTTTCCTCCCTTTAGAAACTTTTGGTTGTAAATCTGGGTTTGTATGCAGAGTGGCCAAGACGATTGCTCTTCAGCAGAGCTTGAAATGTGAATGAGATTGTTCTAACTATAAAACAAGCGGAAAGACCGTCAGGAGACTCTAGTGGGTGGAGTAGAGAACTATCTTTAAAATACTTTAATAGATCATTTTTTTCCCCCCAACATAATTAGGAGGATGAGAAGCGTGCAAGGAAAAGAGAAGCAACGCAAAAAGCCCAAGTATTTTCCTCTGAGGGGGTTTTCTTGGTCCGAATAAGGAAGGATGGTTGTGGAAACTTGTCAGTTTTGTAACACAGTTAAGCTAGAATGCTCTAGTAAAAAGACTTTTCTGTGAATTTGTACAGAATATAGCTGTGTGGCTCACGGCTTCCTGGAAACTACCTTCAGACAAGGAAATTTCCTGGAAACCGGTTGCACGGGGTGTCCCTCATCAGGTGACCTTCTTCTGAAGGGGAATGGGTGCTGCCTCTGGTCTGAATTTTCACACTTGCAACCTTTTTGTTGGAGCTGACTGTGAAGAATTCTTTAGCAATCTTCCCCTGAGAGCTGCCGTAGCCGGGATTGCACTTTTTGTCTGTAGTCTTTGGAAACATTCCTCAGCGGACTTTTCTCCTCTAATCCTGTTATTTCTTCAGTTTGTAGCTCTATCTCACTTTATTGTGTTTGCTACAGCTTGGGACTATGGCTGTGCGGCTGACTTGCTGGTGGAATGTGCTCCTTGTATTCCCGGACTTGGGAAATTGCTTAATTAATTACTTGAAGAACTAACATTGTAGTTAAAAGAGCAGGGCACAAGAGTACAACTCTCTGTGTGACTTTGGAAGGGGATAACTTTTTTTTTTTCCCCCCTGTTGTAGTATGCGAACACGCTATTTTGAGAAGTAGTTCAAGATCTACAGCTGTAAGGGAATGCAGAAATGCTAGATTTCTTCTTCTTATTAAACAACTCTGAATATTTTTGAGTTGTGTCACTACTTCTCTGTGTCATTGTGAAAAGACCAACTGCTAGGTAGCAATCTGAAACTTAGTAAAAAACAAAACAAAAAACAGAACCATCCCCAAGCCCTCAAAAATAAAGGAGGGGAAAAAAAAAAGCCCCTAAACCAACCAGCCCAGGACACGTATTTGAAGTCTGCCCTGAGAAGGCTGGGATTTTAAAAGAGAAGAACAAAATTGTAGAGCCTGTATTCCGGTTTCTGATTTTATGATGGTACATGTATTTTGTCTTGTCTTGTTTGGATAGCTTATATTTACAAATTAATTGTTGCGAGGGGAGAAGGAAGCATGCGATCACTCCATGTCTCGACCAGGGTGAAACTAATGTGCTTACTTTCCTTGTACCTAGTCAGAAATATGGACCTCCCTTCCATGTTGAACACAGATCTGTGTGTCAGTGAGCTTTGTTCGACAAAATAGACTAATTCCTTCGCATTATTCCTTTATATAGTTTAAAATCCCTTAGTAAAACATGCAAGTTGCAGGCAGTTGTCTCAGAAAACAGGTGAAGCCCTTAACAGGAAGAAAAGCTTGTTGTTGGACTTCTGATTTTGTTTTCTTGTTTTTTAAGGGGATTTCAAATTAGGCAAGAATTAAAAAAAAAAAAACACAAAACAAAAAAGTGAGGAAGGAATCTACTTGAAGTTGATTTAATCCATAATTCCTGAGGCTTTTCATGATAAGATGGAAAGGAAAGGAAAGTACTGATGAAAGATATTTACACTGCGGTATTCCTGTTTCAGGCGTTTGTAGCAGAGCCTTCCTTTTTGCTGCAGGGAAGTCTGTGGTATTCGTGTACAAAAACATGCAGTCTGTTCTTCTCTGCTTTTCCTGTGAGGTGGCATCACCTCTTCTCCATAAAGCCATGGCCTGTGATAACGATGAGGAAATCTTAGCTGTTCTTCCCAAGGCTTCACTTCCTTGCAGAAGCTTTTCTCCCTGTAGAAAATCTGCATGTAATATGTGATTCTATGGCACCTTCTACTTAAAAGTGTCTCATAAATTTACCTACTTAGCTTCCTTGTATAATAAAGAGTTGTTAGTGGCAGCCATCTGTAAAACGGAGATAAGCTATCCAAATTTGGTTGACTTATGAACGTATGTAGGGAAGGGAGATGGATATTGTGATTTGCTGTCTGTGCTTCCAGCCCTGGCATTGCCCTTCTCTTTGAAGTGTGCTCGTTTGCCTAGAAAACTTGCATGTAACTAATCAGAGACTTGAAATTTTACTTTGGCTTTCATAAATGTATGACTGTAGCTATTCTGATTCAGGAAATTGATAACTCTGTGGAGGATAGATTGCTCTCTAGTTGTGTGAATGGGCGTGTTGAACTGTGGGCCCAAACAAAAGGGTGAAATGAGGGTGGCATAAGGCAGCATAGCTTTCCATTTCAGTTGTTCTTTGGGTAAGTTTCTTAACTCCTTTCGGTCCAACTACCTGACTTACCACAGAATGAAATAACGTACTATGGAGTGTTTCCATAGTTATTTTCTTTTACGACCAATGAAAATTATACTACTCCTTTAATACTCCTTTAAACTTTTATTTCCTGTCTTCTTAGTGTCTGCTTGTTTACATCTGTATGCATACATGTATTCTTTTTAACTTTTATAACAACTTGTTTTCAGTTATACTGGGGCCCTTCCTGGCGTTTTATAGACAACAGGTTGAGAAACTCTGCTGTAGTAAAAGGATAGCTTGCACAAAGAAGCTGATTTCATTTTGTCTGTTGTCACTGCTTCTCTATGTTCCAGTAGATCGTTCCATACCCCATTTCTTTATTTGTTTACAATCCTACGTATGTAAGCCTTTACTAGATAATGATTTGCTGAAACCAAAGGGAATATTTTCCAAGTTAGCTGTTCTCAAGCAGAGAGTGCGTGATGGGACGCATTAAGCGTCTTGTTACAGTGCATCTAAATCCTTTTGCCGGTTGAACACAGGAGCTCATACCAATGAGTTCACGCTATTATCCATCAGTCCTGGCCAGGATTCTTGAGGGTGTTCCTGAACTGACTCTTTCGTCAGTAGAATGAAAAATGGGCTGATGAATACCTGCAGTATATATTGTCCTGCGGGGTTAATGTTGATGCTGCGATAATATTTTTTGAAAGCATTCATCTTGCTGTATTCTTAGACTTGTGTTTGAGGATGCAAGTGTAAGTTCACCTTGACTAGCTGTCTTTTTGATGTGGAACACCCTGCATTTATTTATTGATTAAACAATAATTATTCAAACTTTTGGTCTTTTAATGTGTATGATATTTCACGTATTTAGACAAGGTTGGGATCTAAAAAAGCTGCAGAATATTTTGGCAAGAGGCAAGTGTGGGAACTGCTGATAAAGAGAAGGTATTTTCTGGAGGTGAATTCTAGAAAGCAATGTTAGAGAATAACTTGATGAAAACTGGCAAAGCATTATAAATGAAAGGAGGAACATGACTGAATTGTCGAAGGAGCATTGTATTTTGACCTCTGTGTGGGGTTTTGCTCTGTAATTGTTTTACTGGATAATGTGGGTTCTGATCGCTGATGACCCTGAGAATTCTTCTCAACGTTAATTGGGCTGACGGTCTGGATCATGCTGCAGGTTCCGAGACTTACAGACGAAATGCCAAAGGATTCACAGTTCGTCCTATGAATCTTTGCTCTTAGACCTGTCTTTTCCCACTGGCAGCTTTAATAACTTACCCAATTGTGCTGAGCCCCAGCTTAGGGAACGGTTTGTGCTGTGAAATTCTTGTTTTGTCTGTTGGCCAGCAAAAAGATGGAAAGCAGGGAAGAGTGACTTGATAGGCAGGAGGAGCGTTGTGTTAGTGCGAATTGACGCTGCTGTCTCAGGAAACAGGTGGGTTGCATTTTGGCTAGCCCTGGTTTGGGAGAATACTTTCCTGCAACTTCCTCTGAAACGAGAGCTAGTGGTTTAGCAGCATAGCGGGCTGGTGTTCTCTTCACTGCGTTTACCGTTCACACACACGCATATTCTTAGAAATGACTAAATCTCCTGTGTCGTGTTGCGTTTCACTGATATGTCTTGAGCAATTGAAACCAAGAGTTACAAGTCTGTGCACCCGGAGAACCTCTGTTTTGGAGAGCAAGGCCATCTTGTGCTTTTCATAGCTCTTTCCTGCATGCATTTATGACACTTCCCTTGATAATAGATGTTTATTGTACCCTGCTGCTCCATCAAAGGTCAGGTGGGGGAGGATTTTGCAAGACAAGAAAATCTTCTGCCTTACTACCTGTGTTCTGAATTTTCTTTCCTCCTTTCTTTCCCGGTTCCGCAGAAATCTTTTGGAATCTCCCTGGAGAATGGATACAGAGAGATGTTATCGCTTTATCCAGCAATATGCCATGTCAACGCTGAGTTAGCTTGCATTGTCTTGCTGCAAATTTCTTGGCAAGTAACTGGACCTTTTTAGAAGCTGTTACATGGGTGGAGTTGGTAGGTGATACGTTATTCTATTAAGGAGGAGGTGTTAAGACTTGTTTCTGAGTCACGTTAGCAGGAATCCGAAGCCTAATGAGATATGTGAGATAAGGACAGCTGTCCTGGATTTAGTTTGGTTTACTGATGCTATTTTCTGGAACCGAGAGTGAAGTGTCTGTTCTGAAGCTGTGTATCTGCTGAATTGGAGATTAACTGTTTTCCGTGTTTGTCAGGGCCTAGAGCACAGGAAGGAGCAGGTAGGAAATCCTTCTCAGGAGAACAGGGCTTCTGAGTTAATGATACGAATCCTTGTTTTCCCTGAGTGAACTTCTTATGCACTTACCAGCCTTTGGAGCTATGTGTCGAAGCTCGTAGCAATGGTTCTTGGTTCTATAGTGTTGCTGTCTTTTCCTGTTCTCAAAACTTGAGATGTGTTTAAGAAGTGGTGTAACTTCTGCATGCTTGCAAGGAGGGGATAATTAATAACAGCTAGCTTTTCTAGGTAATTTTTCATCAATTGGTTCAAGTTGCTTTGTAAAAGAGGTTGATCACAGTATCCCTATTAAAGAGAAACGTACAGAGGAGAAGCAACCCGTCCGGCTCAGGCTGGAGGACAGAACTCGGGTATTTTGAACAGATTCCTGGGTTATATCCACGATTTTCACCCTGTCTCTGGCTTTTCTTAGGTGTAAAATGGGTAGGAAAGGGATTACTTTGCAAAACAACGTAAGCTTAGTTTACATTTGCATAGTGTGTATAGTTAACGGAGTTAAAATTGAGTTGAGATAGTGGGCTGCAATTGGTCATTCAGTAGGACAGCTCACTGAATCATCCTTGCCCCTTCTTTAAGACAGCTTGCCCTCCAGGGCAGTACGCATCTTTTTTTCATTTTTGCATCTTGCTGAGAATGAGTTAAGAACGCTGTGTCCAAAGCTGTCCAGCTGTGGTTGAAGTCACTGTAAAAAAGCTGTTTGGTTTTTAGCTACAAGCAGTAGAATAGGTGTATTTGGAAGGTATTGCCAGAGCTTGCTGTGATTGAGGACTTGTCTGATTGGTTGCCCTTATTAGGAACTTTTTTCCCCTGCTCTTGAACTTAAACATATTGACATAGTAAATTACTATAATTCTTGTGCACTCTAGCATACTCTTAAAGGGTTTAATAAAATTATGTCAGATGAAGTGTCTCCTTCCTTTGTAATAACATGTGAAATTAATATATTACATTTCTGCAGTGCAGTAAAATAACACATTTTCTTTCCTTCCATGAGTTATTCTAGGCAGGATCCAAAAGTGCTGAGCTAGGGTTTCATTCATTTTGGCAGATCCTGCTGTGGTGGGAGCTGGACAGACAGGAAATGCAGGCCTCTTAGCTGATTCACAGAACAAATTTGGCCTATGATTTTCTTTTGCTCAGTAGAGATGGCTTTCTGACTCGATGTAATTGGTGGTGCTCTTGGGTGTTGTGAAGAGGGAGGCACCAAAGTCTTAAACGTGTGGGAAGTAGCATAGCCTCCTGGGGGAGGAGTGGTTTAAAGAGTTGTTCTGGTTGTGTTGCAGTACTGTGGGAGCACCGAGTGAGGGAACTGGATATTTTAAGGCTACTTCTTCACTTTATCGTCTCAAGATCTTCTGGACATTTTTTTTTCCCCTTTTGTCTTCTAGATTTGGCAAAGCCTCCAGTAAATGAACCGAGGGAACCGGAACAGTTTCTAATGCAGGCGCCCCAGGGAAATCCACTGCTGCTTTCCCACACCCTACAAGAGCTATTGAGCAAGGATAGTGTGCAGGTGGAGCTTATACCTGAGAAGAAGGGCCTTTTTCTGAAACATGTGGAATATGAGGTTTCCAGCAAGGTAATATGAACAAACATTGGTCTAGCATTGGCTAGTGAGAATGTGTCCTCTTAGGAACATCCACACAGTTGCTGGTCCTGTCGTCAGAGTCTTCTATAATTCGATAGATGTGTTGGGTGGTGCTGGTTTTGAGTAGGCCAGCTGTATTGGTTTGCTTTAAATGCAGTAGGGTTATGCTTTCTTGACCTGTGCTTTTGCAGTATGGAGCATCTCCTGACTAAGGGCTGATGGATGGTCTGCTGGTTTTCAAAGTGAATGGGTAGTATTAGGAGTACTAGCCCACCAGACTCTTTAATGTTTTCGTAACGGGTAGGTGTAGGCCACTGGATACTTCAGTCTAGTTAGAGCTTGTGAAGAAATCGGATTGGCAGTGCTAAAGCAAAATCCTTTATAAACAAAATGGGTACTGGAAATCCTCCTCCAGAGTCTAGGCTATTTCCAGTTTACTTGCCCAAATACAAAGCTGTAGGTCTTCCTTTTGGTATAAGAAGAGACTGAAGATTATATATCTTTTCCTATTTTTGGAAAAGCCAGTGAAATGGCTCTCTGATAGCTTCTATGTGTTTATGAGAAGGAAGTCTGTCCTTTCTGAAGTAGACCAAGACCAATTTACGTTTCCCAGACTACCAAAGCATCAGTTGTTCGGTCACCGCTGTGCATAGTCAGAACATATGCTGTACATGGTCAAATAAGTGACATTTGGGTCACTTATCTGTAGTGGCACTTGGGGCTTTACTTATTTTGTGTCAAAGGTCATAAGTTTGTCAAAGACTTGTGAGGGGGAAAGGGCTGACAGTGAATGCTTCTGTGAGCTCTTTTGGACACGACATTTATGTTTCCTTCAGCCCACTGGACTCAGTGACCCTGGTGGGTTCTCTAGGTCTTGTATTGAGGAGCCTATCACCAAATTCTTTCCATTGTTGTCATCTTTCTTGCAGTTCTGTCTGTATAATGATACTTCTGCAAAAAGAAGCACAGCTTGGCCTAATGCCTGCAAAACAAATCAACATCAGATTTCAGAGCAGATGCAGGGAGGCCCTAAGGGCTGTATCCATTGTGCTCCAGTTATATGCCCCGCTGTGTTGTTTTTGCAGATGCATAGTGCCACGAGAAGTTGTGGATGGTCTACAATACAGTCGTAGTAAGAGTGGATATAATGATGTGTAGTCTTTCTGATCAGCTGCTCCAATAGTGGAATGTGTGTATAGTAGTGGTTTTTTTTTTTTTTAATGATTTTTGTCTCTCGAGTGTCTGTTGTAGGGGCTACCGAACTCCTTTTGGAGCGAGTAACCAGTTTCTTTGGTCTATTCTACAGCTTGATCTAAGAAATGAGAAAATAAGAACTAAGGTTTTAAAGGAATTTTCAAAGTTTGCTTATAGATTTAACTTCAGTAGCAGACATCTTTTTTTCTCTCATGAGGTTCATTTGAAAGGTCAGTCATTTGGGCTAATACTTAACATGGCCTAAGTTTGTTTTGCTGCCTTTGGGTTTGAAACTGCTTTAGAGAAAGTTCCTAAGAACTGGAGCAGGGACTTGAAGTATGCCAAGATCGGAGCTCTCTAGTGTACTTTAAGAGTACCTTTTTGAGAGTATTTAAGAGTATTGAGTATTGTCAAAAGGGCTGTAGTTAGAAGAAAGCCATCAAGTAGTTATGTCATCCATGGTATTAACTGAAAGGTGGCTGGCTTGGGAGTCTTTTTTCCCTCCTTCACCCCACAAGGCTAATGGCCTCTAAAAATAAGAAATACATCGCTTCTGAAGTCTCCAGATGTGATTTTTTTTTTTTTTAGCACAGCTGATGGCAAAAATTATGAGAATGCTGCCGACTGTCTAGTCTGAGTATTGATTATTTTTTCCTGTGCTCTGTTACAGCGATTCAGATGCTCAGTGTACAGACGATATAATGATTTTGTGGTATTCCACGAGATGCTGCTTCAGAAGTTTCCATATCGTATGGTACCAGCACTTCCGCCAAAGAGGATGCTGGGAGGTAAATCTGGGTCTGTCTTTTGACAGGAAGGGTTGTGGTGTAAACCTGAGCAAGAAGATACTGTTGAAAATATGTATTTAAAAGTTTCCACAGTCTTTGCTTCTGTTTCATTCAGAAAACTCTGAGATTGTAGCATGGAATTCGGAGGTGTGAATTATTGCAATGCCAAAAGTTCTCAATAGGTAAAATGTTAATCTAAAACTTCAATATTCTTTTTGCAAGTAGAAGTTCAGTATCCAGTGATCTTTCTGACAAGCTTTAAGGGAGAGCTGAGCAAAAGAGCATGGTAGAGTTGCAGTTGTTTTTTTTCTTTGCATTTTTTGTTTGTTTGTTTTTTTAAGAAACTAGATTACAATGATCACAATTTTATGATGCTTTGAGTATAGAACTCCTATTGCACTGTCAAACAGCTGTAGTGTGCTGCTTTGTGAAGTGCTCAGATTATTGACGATTAGTGGAAATCCCATTGCTCTTCTATAGCAGAACAGTGAAGATGAAAATTATTAAAAGGCTTAAAACTCCTGAAGAAATGATTGCAGGGAGAGGAGAAGGTTCAGAGTCATGACGTTATGCAAACGTAAAAGGGAGTGACGAGCACAGCGGTGTTAAATGAACTACTGCATCGGGTCACTATGTGTTATAATATCATCTTGCACAGAAGCCTTATGATGCAGGCAGTGGCAATTAGTTTCTCAGTCTATGTACAGAAAGATGCCTTTCTGGCAGACAAACCAACTGCTTTATAATTGCCATTGGACCTTTTTTGTTTCTTGTCCTTAAAAAGGAGCTTGTCCGTCTGCTTAGTCTAACCAGAAATTAAAAGCTGAGGTTGGGATCAATGTGTCAGTTCATTCAACTACATTGTAACTATTAGGATAGAGACCAGTGAAGCATCCCAAGACTGAAAGCATGTCAAAGCCACTTCAGATATGTTTTTCGTTAATCTGAAATTTTTAAACTTTATTTTTATCATTTAAAATGTTACAAAACTGTATAAAATCCTGTCTTGTTTTCTACTTTAGCTGCTGAAGAACTAGCTTTTCACTGTCTTCTCTTCTGTCCATATTGCTAAGCTTAACGTATTTCAATAAATAATTAATTTCAGTCGAGGAGTCCCTGTATCGTTACAGTAAAGAGGAACCTGGGAAACAGTGAGCAGAGCAGAGTTTATAGTGAACTAGAGCAAAGCAAAATAATACTGTTGAAAAGCTTCACTGATCATATTTTCTTATGATGGAATGCCAAATGCCAAGTTTTTTTTGTTTGTGTGTTTTTTTTGTTTGTTTGTTTTTTGAGGCTGCAAGAACCAGTCTGTTGAATTTGGCCTGATTCAGTGTTCTCAGCCAGAATTTCCAGACTGACAACTTCATGCAATACCTGAAAACAAAGTGACCTTCTCTGGTTAATCTTAGCAGAGAGAGGATGCTTGAAGGAGAAGCTACCAATACATATTATTTGTCAGTCATTGTTATTTCTTTGTGTTACTAGTGTGTTGATACTTCTGTGCATTCACCAGTGCATTTCTTACCAGTAGATATCAGGTGTGTTTTAAAAAAAAAAAACAACAAAAAAAAAACTGGTAGGATATGTTCCCAAACTATGGTGTACAGTCCTAAACAGTTTCAAAGCTGTGTTGAGAGAGAGAGAGAGTGATGACTGCCTTTAGTCCAGTGACTCTGCATACAGAAAAGCTGAGGAAGTCACATTAAATAGAAACTGCAAACAGGAAAAAGGAAATGGAATGGGTAGTTCTTGTTTCTGAGTAGGTTAATGGAACTAGTAAAGAGAATTGCAGGGCACAGGATTTAATGGATCCGTATAGATGTGTGATCCTTCCTTCCTTCCTTCTTTCGTTCCAGAGCCTGACGGGCAAAGCTGCACACTTTGTGTATTCGGTATACTCTTCTCCTAAGTTGTATGCTTAACTCTTCATGGTGATCCACTTTCTTCATCTGACAGAGAGATGAAAGATTGATAGTTTCTCTGCTCGTTTTGGAGCACAGCTGCATAGGGAGGCAGATAATGTAGGAAATGTGTAGATGACTTCAAAAATCTGTGTGTAGGCTGAAATGTGAACAAAGCACAATGAAGATCTGTAACCCTACTGACTGAAAATCTTTTGATGAGTGATGCTATACTAAACATCATTATAGAGACTGCGTGCAGTGATCAAACTTTAACTTAACAATCAGGCAAAAAACTGAGACTCTTTCAAGGGTAAGGTTTAGGTATCCCTTTGTCTGCTCATGCTTTTACTTTCAATCCTTTCTATTCTCTTTTGATTCAAATTTACTTTTGTTTAATTTTTTATCTTTCCTGAAAAAAACTCTAGGATCTTTGAATTGCTGACTTAGCTGCAGAATCACCTGACTGAAACTCTTCCTGTTTCAGGACAGAAGACAAACTGAACTTTCCCTAGCTGAAAAACTAGGGAGACTCTGGTTTAATGCACTGCAGATTGCCACACAGGTCTTTCAAAGTACTTTCTGAAGGCTTACATAAAAACAATGGGCATTGATCTTGAACAAACAATTTAAAAAACCCTTTCTTCTTCCCCCAAACCCCCAAATGGTTAAAAGCGTGGAGGAGGGACAGTTGAAGGTAAAGCACTCTGAAGTTAGTTCTGTAAAATAACGAGCAAAAAAAAGCATAGTTCTCCATGGGATGATCCAAATTGGCAAAATGGCTGTGTGATCTGCATTGCAAAGGCATCCAGGAATCTTAAAACAGAGTAAGATCCCCTCTGTGGACCACCTACGGAATTGACTCAGGGGGAGAAAAATCTTTGTAAGCCCACAGTTTGTAAATAGAGGCTCCAGGCCTTAAACTTGGTTATTTGTCCTGCCTACCTAACCTGTCCTGTGGAAGTAAACATGCATAGATGTATTTCCAGAATTGCAATACAATGTAAAGAACCACTTGAAGGAAAAGTTGTTCTGGTGGTCAATCCAAAAGATTCGTTTTAGGGAGCTCACGTACCACAGGCAGCCATTCTTTGGTTTTGTTGCAGTACTTTAGCATGGTATATAAGTGCAAGGGAATTATTGGACTGGGTGCCTTTTTTTTTTTTTCCTCTTTCTGAGCATCTGTAATGTGTCATGCATTAATTCAAATTCAATGTTCCTCCTGCAGCTGACCGAGAATTCATAGAATCTAGAAGGAGGGCTCTGAAGCGTTTTATAAACCTGGTGGCACGGCATCCCCCTTTCTCAGAAGATGTGCTCTTGAAGCTTTTTCTGTCCTTCAGTGGCTCAGTGAGTACTTGTTAACAATAGTCTGAGTTTGCATATCCTCCTGTAACTGTTTCCCTGCGCACAGAGTTCGTAATTGCTTTTGACCTACTTCTTGTTGCTCCCCACGATGAACGTTTTCTCTCTATAGCTATTTCTGCAGCTGGACAGTGGAAAGTAATTATATTCAATGCCAAGAACGTATTATTTTGAAAACGATATCTGTTCTTAGGGGAATACATATGATGCTTCTGCTTGGATTAAACCTAACCTGACTAAAGGTGTAGGTGTTAAGTTGTACCTTACTATTGCAATATATCTGTGACCTGTGTAAACTGCCTATGTTTTACTTGATTCTTTAATACCCATTTGATCCTGTTGCTTCTCCAGGATGTGCAGAATAAGCTAAGAGAGTTGGTCCAGGGAGTGGGAGATGAATTCATGACTTGCCGACTCGCTACCCAAGCCAAGGTATCTGTATTTCTCACAATGTATTATTCTGGTGTAAGTGTCTCTCTTCTCCAAGTGGATCAGTTGTGGTGTTTGCTGGGTGATAGACAGAGGCCATAGGTAGGAGGAAGCTGTTTCCAAAGTTCAAAGGACTTCTAAACTTATAATTTAACAGGAAACAGAAATAAATACTTGACTTTTAAGATCTAGCTACTTCTAGCTAAATGTGTATGAATATGAAACTAAACAATGCATCTTGCTCAGAACACGTTTCTCAGCAATTACTTGTACTTGCATAACAAGCAAATGTGCATACCACACAATTTAAAAGCCAATGTCTAGATTGGTGTTTTCCCCACGTGTATGTGCCATCATTCTGTCTGTCCTCTTCCTGTGGAAGAGTAATTTGGACTGTTTTAGATGCCTTAAAAATGACAAAAATAACCCAACTACTAACTCTTGTTCACTGAACTTTTAATAACCTCTCTCATGTGTTTTGGTAGAATTTTGCTCTGCAAGAGGTGAGAGAGTGACCACTAAAGGGTTAAAAGATTGTATGTGATTTCACGGTTTATGTGCAATGTCTTTTCATGATCCTTGAGCGTGGATCATAGGTATCACATGAGAGAAAATGAGCGGGCAACTTGCTTTGCCTCTTGTCCATCAGTTCCTACGCTTTTCCATTGCAGAGTGCTTTGAGATTGTAGTGTTAAAAGTGCAAAGTTAGGTATTATTATCTAGGTGTTGTTATTTCTTTCTTAGTCAGAAGTTCTCCGTGCATCTGTTTATCCCAGTGATTAGTGCTATGGCAATTTTTAAACATACGTGCACTGTGTTTGAGCAATTGCAGAGTGATTTGCTGTTCAGGTTCCTGCATTGCTAGCAGAAGGTTTTGTAATCAGAGCTTAATTCAGGCTCTTACCAGTGATGCACAAGTCAGAAAGAGCTTAGCTGAACTTTTTAGTACATGCTTAACTTTGCCACGCTGGCAGTTGCTAGTAGCTTCAGACCAGAACTTACGAACCTGAAAGCTCACAAGCCCAATTTCAGCTCCATAGTAGAACTGTAGATTTTGCCAATTCTGTCTGTACCCTGACTTTAAGCCTCTTTCAGTCCTTGAAGATTAGGTGTATTCATATGAAATCTGACTTGGACACCTAAGCTGCAAAGCTAATCTCTTCAGGGTCCTTGTAGGGTGAAGGGGATGTGTGTCTTCATGAGAGTGCCATTCCGGGCAAAAGACTAGCTTCAACAGCCTGAATTCCTTCTGGAGAAATCTGTCTCTCTCGGCCGACTGCACGGTCTGCCTACAGTTAAGATATGCGAATATACCTCTGATGTGCCCACTAGTAATCCCTCTTGCGCTTCCTCAGGACTTCCTTCCAGCTGACATTCAGGCCCAGTTTGCTGCCAGCAGGGAGCTCATCAGAAATATTCATAATAGCTTTTATAAGCTTCGGGACCGTGCGGAGAGGATAGCTTCTCGAGCCATTGATAATGCCTCAGATCTCCTCATGTTTGGAAAGGAACTAAGGTAAGCTGGGAGGAAGAGGACTTGCTAATGGGAACATTTCTGCTGTTGCTTCAGAACTCAAAACTGTTGTGAGGTTTACCTGCGAATATGTAGCTCATAATGAAGTTTTTCCTACCTTAAAAGAAGAAAACACATGCTTTCCCCCAAGGCTACATTACATAGAGCAAGAGAAAAGAAAATGGCAATATCTTGATATGCAGGTACTGATTATAATGTCCATTCCTCCAGTATATACACAGCACTGCGTTTGTGATTGTTCAGTAGTAGCTCTGCAGTATGAGCTGTTTAGACAGATTTGAAACTCTGAACTGCTCTCTGCTGGTAAGTGTATCTGCACAGCAGAATTTATCTCCTAGATTGAACTACTACTTCTCTCTTCTCCCAGTGCTTTGGGCTCAGACACTACGCCGCTTCCTTCCTGGGCTGCTTTGAACAATAGCACATGGGGGACTCTGAAGCAAGCCCTGAAGGGTCTATCTGTTGAATTTGCACTTCTGGCAGATAAGGCTGTGCAGCAGGTGAGTTCCTTACCCCCTCCCCTTTTTTATTGGTAAAATGATGGAGGAGGTGAATTGCTGCCTTATGTTTTATCATGAATCATGAGCTCTGTGGGCATAGGCACTAAAGAGTTATCCTCTGTCTTTTGGAGGCTCTAGTCTGCACTCACGTCCTCAACCAGCAGCCTGCTTGTGCAAGCTTGAATGAGAGGTAGAAAATAAACTGGACTGTGTTTTAAATGGGGAAAATGTAAAACGGGCAGAGGAAAGGAGGGAAAAGTTTTCTTTCCTTTTCTTTTCCTTTCAAAAGGCTATTGGACAAGTTAAGTTGTACTGCTATACTGAGCCGAGTCCTGCATTCTGCCCTATAAGTCTGCTGCGGATAATCCAGAAGAACTTATTTCCGAATCAAGTTTTGACATTCACGGGCTTAAACAGTACGTGAGAGTCATTCAGACAGAAGTGTCGAATTCCTGTGTAACTGTACAATGTGATAATGACTGTTGAAATAGTGTGAGAACATGACAATCTGGGGAGGAAAAGTAATATATTTCGCTTCTCATCTCATTGTGTTAAAATGCTCAGCATGCTTTATAAAGTAGTCAGAACAGATTTTCCCTCTGAGTTTATGCTCCAGAGAGCGCTCTCGATACAAGAAGAAAAGATAACGCTTAGTAAAGAAAAAAATAGTGGTGAAATTCAGCTTGTCGTCTCATCTCCGCTTTCTGATGCATGAACTATTACAGGGAACATGCGGGTATTTATAGATTTAATGGATTAGTTATCTTGTAAGAAGGGAAGATGAAAGATTTGGAGGAGTCTGCAAGAGCAAGAAATTCCAGGCAGAGAGAGCTGAAAGGACTGACGCACAGGACTTGTGAAACTAACTCCTCTTGTTATAATGATCAGTCAATTGGAAAAGCTATTCCTGCTCCACTCAGGTCTTTGTTCCGTGTAGCGAAGACTAAACTCCAGTGCCATCTGAAAGCTTCCTGATGCAGTTGTGTAAGCATTGATGTGCCCTGGAGAATACCGTGGAGGGCCTGCCTGGAGTAAGGGCGTGAAGAACTCTGATGCCGGTTCTCGCCAGGCTTACATAAAATGTACTTTTTCCCTGTTTTCTAGGGTAAACAGGAAGAGAATGATGTGGTGGAGAAGCTGAACCTTTTCCTGGATTTACTCCAGTCCTATAAAGTGAGTTCTGCTGTTCTTCTGCCAATGAGAAAGTTGTTTAGAGCAAGCTTGTGCTCTTTAGAGGGTGTAACAGCAGCTGAATGGAAAACTGCCTGGAAGGCCTGTTCAGAGGCAAACTGGGCATCTGGCAGAGGGAGGGGAGTGGCTGTTGGCCTTAGCTAGCTCTCTAGCCTGACTGGTCAGCTCTCATCTTGTGATGAGATCTTGTCAAACAACAAACCCTGCAAGGAAATTGAAAATATGTGTACTTGAATTATATGGATCAGCTAATCTTTTTCCAGACATGGCTGCTTCTGAGTCAAGGCATTGGACTGGATGGCTGCTGTTTTGCGCATGGAGACCTGAGTTCAATTACAAAAGAAAAAGTTTTTATTGATATTAGTCTTTTGTTCAAAGGTGCATTTTTAGGAGCATCTAGTTAAATGATACTTGGCCTGGACAGAAATAGGAGGACACTGGCAAGCTATTACAACAGTTAATTGGCAGCAGTTAATACTGATAAGGGCACAAAAGATAAGTGGTTTGATAAAGATCCAAAATGTTGGCAGACGTGATGCTCCAGATTGCTGCTTAAGCTCAGTGGTCTGGGTCCAAGCAGTTTTGTTTCTTAAATTGTTATGTGCCAACATTTTTTGACCCTTTTGAAAACACAGAAACAAAAGGTCTGCGGCATAGAAATTGCATAAAGCATGGCCATTTAAATCGTTTGTGCTCCTGATACATTTGGCTTGCTTGCTTACTGTCTTAGCTCCCTGCCCTGCTTCCACGAAGTATCTGTCGTTTTCCTTTTCCCATAAAGGACCTGTGTGAAAGACATGAGAAGGGGGTATTGCACAAGCACCAGCGAGCCTTGCATAAGTACAGCATGATGAAGAAGCAGATGATGAGTGCCACTGTGCAGAACAAGGAACCGGAATCTGTGGAGCAGTTGGAGTCTCGGATTGTGGAGGTAGGGCATCTGCCCTGAACAAATGGTAGCGGACTGCTATAATGATACTACTGTGTAGCTCGGTCATATTTGCAGAAAGCCATTAGACAGAAAGGATAACCCGTACTTTAGGTAATTTAAGCTACCTGCTGTGCTACAAGGAAAATGCATTTGTTTTCTTCAACACTTATTTCTGGCTCTTTGGCAACCTGTCATTTGCAGGAGGTGTGGAAAGTAATAGTCATGTGATGGAAAGTGTAGTTGCTGCCATGTGAAATGGGTCCAGGTACTACCTTTTAGGTTCTTGGTATGTTTGCATTGCTAGTATGGTGAGGAATGCTGTTTTCTCTTGCTGCAAATGAACCTCCTTGGGACCTTTTTCCTGACAATGTATCTCACTGAGTTTCTCTTCATTCAGCAAGAAAATGCCATCCTAACCATGGAGCTGCGGAATTACTTTTCTTTGTATTGCCTGCATCAGGAGACGCAGCTCATCCACATCTATCTGCCTCTCACATCTCACATCTTGGGGGCCTTTGTCAACTCCCAGATCCAGGGTCACAAAGAGGTGAGTACTCCTGGTCTATGTTCTTTTTTCCCAAAATATGAATGAGAATTTGAACTGATTCTGTTTTTTCTCCTGTGAGCCTTCCTCCTCTGATAGTCTGGGGTCTTTCATAACCTTTTAAGAAGTCGGCAAAAGTCTTCCTGTTTGAGTGTGAGGATCAAGGCTGGCCTTTAGCCCTTAAAAAGGCTATGCATTTTCTTAGAGCAAATTGTTGCTTTTTTCTTTTTTTCTTCTTCTCATATCTGTGGATGGCTTTTACGACAAAAAGGGTGGAAGTAGACCCAACCGGTAAATAACCAGTTATTCTGTAATGGATGATATGTTTGCTAGATGAATCTACTTTTGGTTGTGTTAGACAGAAATTATATGACGGGGAGAAGCTTCTCTCCTTTTTCTCTGAATCCAAGAGCTTCCTTTGTTTATCTCTAAATATGGCCTCCACCATTCGCCATGTACAGGCTCTCCTCCTGCAACTCCCTCCCTTCCCATCATTGAAGGAATTTGTCCAAGGTATAGGAAGTCTCCCTTCCATGCATGCTCAGTAAAGTGCTGAGAGCTGCATTATAGCAGCAGTCTAAAAGGTACAGTCTGGATCCACTGGGCTTCCCTGAAGTACTTCAGCGAATCTGTGTTGTGCTTTCTAGTACCTTGAAACTGCTGCTATAATATAGTGTGGTGAGATAATGACCCATAACGTGGTACTGTTTGTTTTCTCTCCTCCCCTCCCACTCAGATGAGTAAAGTTTGGAATGAGTTGAAGCCGAAATTGAGCTGCCTCTTCGTGGGATCTAGCAATATGCCAACTCCACCGTTGTCACCTCCAGAGGGAAACTTCTTCTCCAGTTAATGCTCTGACCATCTGGGATGGAGCAAGAAGTGCAGTCAAGGGAGGGGTGGGGTCTCTACCTCCAGATGTTAGAATGAATCCTCCAAACAGCTTTTCTTTTTTTATACTGCTGCTTTGAGCTGCTCTCTCATTTAGACAGATTGGATATAGGGCAGAATACACAGATATAAAGACAATCTCTGAATTTTGAAGTGCTTTGGGGCAGATCTGAGTTCATTGTCCTGCAGACATTCATCATAGGGTCAGAATGTGACCTGGTGTAGTGGATGCTGCGGTTTTGTTGCTGATGCCTCTGCATCTTGTACAAACAGTCCTCCAATAGTATTTATCTGCACATATGCTGACAAACATCTAAGGTGCTGAGATGAACAGGATATCTGAAGCTTTTGCTTATAGAAGAGATATGCATTGCCTTTTAAGTTTGGGAGGGCGTATGTTAGAGGTATATGTGCGTAAGGAAAGCTGAAGGCTATTCCCAGTCCCATTGGTAGGCGTCTGGATTTCTTACTGCCTGACCTTAGAGCAAAATATGTGAACATGCTGGTTGGATTCACTAACCCTGCTGGGTTGGAATCAGAGCTGCTGTGAGGCAGCAAATTCCCATTGAGCCTAAGCAGACTATATGTCAATGTGATTCATGTTGCGGTTTGCAGGGCAGCCTAGGGACTTGCTTATAGCTTTCAGTTTGGGAACAAAATGACTGGGTTCAGGAGCTCAGAGGAGTGTGCCTGGCGTAAATGAGAAAATAATTGATTGAAACACTCCTCAGTTGTAAGCCACCCATATTATACAAGCAGTACAGCTACAGGTTAGCTTGCTTGTTTTCTTCTGGAGATTCTGACATCCATCTGTTGAGTAGCAGTTTAGGACTGTTGAAGAGCTGCTAACCCAAAGGCTGGTATTTCCTCTGGTAAAGATGAGATATCACGTTACACCAGCAGGCTAGAACACAGTACTGATAAAATTCATTAGCCAAAAAACCAGTGCTTATCTTGATGTTACTGTCATTCTCTTTTCTGGCTCTGGATAGTATTGGAGTGTTTTTGTGAAGGAGAGAAGACAATTGAAGAGGTAGTTCTTTATCTCCCTCAGAATAGCATGGCCCTTGATAATGGGGTTTTCAAAATGATTTCAGATTGGGATAAAGGGACTAAACATTCTCCGTGTCTCACGTTGTATCACTGGTGACTTTCCTCCATGAGGCAAAGGGCAGGGGGAGGAGAACTCGCATATCATCTGTTATCTTAGGAGAAATTGTGCGTATCCTCTTAGAGAATCTGATAAGTGAAGAAACTGCAAACGCATGCAGCAAAACTCTGCATGAACAGGGCTCCCCTGAACCTAACTTCTGTGGGACCAAATGAGCTGCCAAAGGGGAATTTGAGACTTGGCTTCTTAGCATTTGTTTTGAGCGGGTAAAAAGGAAGCATATTAATAAGCATGAGTGCTCGCTATCAAACTGGAACCGTTACAGTATTTTCCCATTGGGGAACTTCCCCATTAGCAGGCCATATGTTTACATCCTCCAATCACAAAAGGCTTTTTCTTTTTTTTTCTTTTTCTTTTTTTTAATTTAGAAAAATCAGTGCAACATAAAAAGCTTCTCAATTCAGGTGGAAATGATGGGTTAGTTTCTTCAGCTAGGAGCAAGATAAAAAGTTATTTCCCAAGGTTCATGAGCCAGGCATAACCATTTCATATATATACATATATATACATATTCATCATATATATACATGCACACATCTACTTATATACATATATATGTATATATATAAAGGAAAAATCTCAAAATATGGTAAAATGCACTTAGTGTGGATGGATTTCTTAAGGAGTATGGGGTGTCTTGTTTAATGAACTTGTTCAGTATGCATTACTAAGAGCTGTTTATAGCAATTCAAATGTTAACCCTTGTATGAATTTTTCCTCCTGGATATTGGCCTTGTCCAGGGAGACAGCTTAGCTGCAAATGCCTGTGACAGATTTGATTCTCTCTCCTAAAGATTTCCAAAATGATGCAGAAGTGATTCTGTTCACTGGCCAGAGCAAACTGGATGGAGAGGTAAATGTACAGTAACAAGTAAGTACAAATAAGATATCTCAAGAATGGCACAGAACTTTTTTTTTTCTTCCTGCTTGACCTTGCATTGGTTAGGAAGAAAGTTTGTGGTTAAAGCATTACTAGCATTTTACCATATTTTTAAATGCTTCACTCCTAGAATCCTTAGAATGTGCTAGCTGGTTATGGGCAGTGGCTTCCTTAATCCTCCCTTATTAAGCCTTCTTTGCCTGATGTGTTGAATAGATAAATTAGGAAAACACTGCATGTTTTGGGGGAAGGTCTGATATCTTATATGATGGATCTTCTGTGTATGTTGGCTGGCTGGTGTAGACAACTGGGGATATATTCTGCAGGAGCACTTGCAAAGTATTAGCCTGAAAGGAACATTGCACTTTTCACCTTTAGAAGTAAGTTACAATTTCAGACTTTAAAAAAAAAAAAAAAAAGTTGGACTTTGGACTAACTAACTCCTCTTTATTGTTCTCCTTTAAAGCAAGAATACTATAGTCCAAATGTGGAGACTATCACAACATATATATATAGGTATACCTCATGACATATAAAAAAACTGGAATTGCGTTGATTGGAGAAAACACCCGTTCCTCCGTTGTCAGCCATTGCTTCTTTGAGGACTACAAATTTTGTTTTGTTTTTACTCTGTTCACCTAGTATTTTGAGAACAAAGGCCTACTATTCTCATAGCTGTTACAGCTAATAGCACTTTCAGAGTTTATTTCATACTGGACTGTTAAGCTTCTGTGTCATTTCTAAACACATATATGTACTATTTCATACAAGCTTTAGTTTGCAAACCGTATTTCTGGGAAACTCGTCAGTGTGCAAATAGCAATATCGTGTTTACTTCAATGTATGAGGGAGTTCCTTGCTGTTTTTGTCCCAGTTTAGTTTAGGGATCTGTCAGATTTGCAGAGAGCAGCATCAAGTACAGCTTCCTTGCTCTAGAGGAATGCAGCAGGGGCTCAGTCAAGTTGACTTCAGTTCTCTGTCTACCTTAGTCGCAACGTAGGGGAAACGGAACTAGTTACCTTCATGCTATTGCTTTCTAAAGCAAAGAGCCTAGCATATAGCAATAGTGAGAAAAAGACTTCTTGAAGTTATTAGTTCCAGTATTGGTAGCCGAATAGATTGCAATAAACACTAAGCAAACCAGAAGACTAGCTGAAGAGCGTGTGCTGGGTACCCATGAACTGATGCTTCTCTTAAGACTTAGCGCCAAAGAGTTAACTGTGCCTTCTTGAATGGAAGCTTTCTGTGTATGTCTTGACCTCATGGTGGCTTCCAGGTGTTCAAAACGGTAATGACAGAAATGTCCTCTAAGCTTTGTGTCAGTGTCTCTGTCTAATCTGTCATGGAGGTACCAGGTTAGTAAACAGCTGAGAGCCTGAAACTTCACCTGAAAAACGTCTTTCTTCCAAAAGGGCTACGTATTTTCCTCACTCCTAAGGTTACCTCTGCTTCAAGCTGTTGAAGTGGTAACATAGAGCCTTTCTGACCAATATGGAAGAGCTTCCTGATGTTGAAAGGCTTTCCCCCCTATTGCATTTACAATACAACCTTGATCTTTAACTCATCTCTCGCTTTTTTCCCCCCTCCTTCCATGTTCCTTTTAAGTCCCTGATGGTAACGTTTTTTAAACAGTGCCTTGCTGCATTCCAGTGCTTTTACTCATCATCTTTGATCGTGCAAGGGTGTTTATTCCTGGAATTTGTAAAAGACTAATTTGCAATCCTCAGTGTTGTGATGTTTCCTAAAAGGCAAAGATCACCACCTGGGTACAGAATTTATTTCAAACACATCACTCTCCAAAACTGTAGCAGGAGCAATAAAGAGTCACTACTCTTCCAAATGGTTAGGGCTAAAACCAGTGCTGGTGAAAGCATCTTCGTAAAAGGATTGAACTGGTTGCAGAACAGGGGATGGCATTTGCTTTTTTCCTTCCTGAACTCCTGGAGGAAGAGAAAGTAATTTGCTCTCTGACCATGCAATTCATCATTTCCACTAGGAAATAAATCAAGATTACAAAGCAGGCGTCTGCTGCTAGACTCCCATTCCTACCATGCAGTAAGGTCTTATATTCTCTTACAAGCTGCCTATCCCCTTGTGCTTATTTTCTCTCCTCTACTTGCCTCAAGCCATTCTCTCAATTAGAACAACCGCAAACCCTTACTGGGTAGCTATGTCAGAAGCAGAGGCGAGTATCAAAAACCCTGTAAATAAGTCAGTGTGCAACACAAAAGGAAAGGTAAGAGTATAAGATGTTAAATCTTATCCTCTAACTTCTAGTTGTGGCGTACTGAGCATATGAAGAAGAGCGTTTTTGAGTGGTATAAATTATTCAGAACCGCTGGAGGGAGACAAGAAGGAACAATCTTGTTTGGAGGGTTTGAAATTTGCCTGCCTGGAATATCCTATATCTTTGCTTTGCTCAAATAGCCTTATATATGAAGCACTTTATCCAAATGCAGGAATTAAAGAACTATTACAACAGCTGGTAGCCTGGAAATGTTTACAAATCCTATATTACATTCCAAGATTCTATCTGTAAGTGTTAAATGTGTTTGTAAAAGCGTTTAAAAAAAAAAAAAACTTGTATAAGAAGTTACATATGTGCTGTGTTATTTCTAGTGCAATTTGATTAAGCCTTTGCTGCCTTGCATGCTGAGTCGGGCTGACCTGAGTGCTGAATATGTCACCTGCTGCTGGCATGTGGCAAAGCCTGTAGCTGTAGGTGACTCCACTTCTTAACAGAAATCTGCTGAAAGTCAAGCTCTTGTGCAGCATATTTTTGCTTGTCAGTACAAAATGCTCAAAACAGCTGAAGTTCACAGCAGGAGCTCTAAGAGAAGGAAGAGTGAAGGTAGAGCTTGAACAATGCCATGCACCTACCTCACACTTTTGTTTTTGACTCCTGTAATCCTATGCTGCTTGCAGCAGGAAGATCCTGAAAGGACCCCTACTTAAACTTTTCAAAGGGCTTTCATAGCACTGATCAAGCTTCACCTTGTCCCAAAAGTAATGTTGAACAGGGAACTGCACAGAAAATAGTGTAGATAGACAACATACTTAATAGATTCTGCTCTTGGATAAAGCAGTGGACTGCGTTGCTCAAGCTGTTTCACGTCCTTGTGAAAGGAAGTGAACTACTGAAAGGCCTTTAAACAATCTAGAAGCTAGACAACCATTTATAACAGGACAGCAGATGCTTTTACTTACAAAATATTTTTAATTTTTCTAAAGACATTTCTAGCAAAGAGGGAAAACCCTAACAAATTATCTGCTTGAGAAGGAAAAGGTTAACAGCAAGTTTTTAGAAGCTGTCATCCCACAACCACTGAAGCATACCACAGCCTGGGACTTCACAGCATGGAAAGATGTGATACTTTTCTTTGCGCTCTAAGAAAGCCCCTCATTTTCTTTACTTCCCCTTGGCTGGCAGATAAGTCTCCTTTGTTAGCCAGCTGAGAAAGGAGACCAGTATAAGTAGTAGTCATGCTGTTCCTAGTCCAATGTGGGCAGCAGCACGTGGCCCGAATGCTTCCCTTTTCTTCTTAAACTTCCTCCACTTCTTTCAGGGTATGCTCCAGGATAGTGTCTTGTCCCTGGAACTTAAAATAGCCACGAAACAACTTCTTCTGAAGCAGCAGGGGAAACCAATAGACATCGTCTGCCCACATGTGATTGAATGGCACCTCATCCAGCTGAAACCACTGTGGACGCATTTCTGGTGGCAAAAACAGAGGTTTGCATGAAACTTTCTCTTGCTTTTTTGCTGCCTGGTCTTTGGATGTCTATCAACAGCTTCTGTCTACAGCCCAGCTGCCTTCCCTCTCAGAGGAATTTCAGCATGAATAGTTCTGCATTACTTTATGAGCAAATGCTGGCTCAGAGAAGAACGCACATCCTTCCTTCCCCTCCCCTAACCACCTACCATCGCTTTCTGTTGGTTCTCCATGAAAATCATCTGCCCGGAAAATGTGAACTTCCATGAGTTCAGAGTTGCCCACAAATTCAAATGTGATCTGACCCATCTTCTGCAAGGTGTCCACAGTCAATCCACTCTCCTCCAGAAGCTCCCTGCACAAGAAATAGACCTCTTGGCATGAAATCGAGCAGCGAGAGCACACAAAAGCAGACAATAGATTTACTCGTATATTCAAAACACTTCAGTGAACCAAAGGTGAAAGCTGCACCTGTAAAACAGAGCAGCACGCAGCTGGCAGAGCATGCAGGCATCGAAAAGCAATGTTCTGGCTGGCACCAAACTATTAGCCTACTTCCATCACAGTGGAGCAGTGTCAGACTGTCTGCCTTATGTGTTATTTCAAGCTCCTGGAGACTGGTAAGAAAATAGTCTGTGTAGAAGGGGAGAGATTCAGGAAAACGGACTGTTTAGTGTCAGTTACTCTCCTTACCACGTGATCTTTTCTGAGATTTGTTAGAAATGGGCTAATGCTCGTAAGTATTAAGGCTGTAGCTGGATGTGGCTAAAGAACTCCAAAATATACTTAAGCAAGCAAAAAGCTTTGCCAACTTCAAGCTAAATCTTGCAGAACTGTGGTGAAGCAGGTAGGAAATATTAGGATGTCTGTACTTGCCACAAAATCAGCTGAGGCTAAATAAAACTTATTTATGTAATGCTACACATTACATAACAAAAATAATGAATGTTTTGAAACCCAGTATATCTTCAGTTAAGGTTAATAATTAAATAAGACTCAACTTCAAAATTAAATTGTAATTGTATTTTTGGAAGTAACTTTATAGTTAGATGTAATGAGATTTTTTGCCAACTTGCTTTGGCATCAATTTCACGGTTCCCATCCTTCGAAATTATATACTACCATAACGCCTTTGCTAATTTCAGTTGATCTTCCTAGGAAACTATTTATGTCTCAAATAGAAGCAGTTTTCTCAGTAACGAAGATAAAAGCCTCATTTCATAGGCTATGATAATTAAACAACAAGCAAAACACTTCTGTGGTTTTCTAAGCAATTCGATACATCTGTGAATTGCTCAGCTCCCTATATAGTAAATGGAAACATAACAAGTAATAAACTAGAAATAATGAACTAGCTAAATGCTCCCCTTGTAAGATATGACACTGAAGAGCTGTAGGCACCTAGTTGCTCAAGGGAATGTTGCGTACGCAGCGGAGTATATTGCTGCTGATACAGAAACTTTTGTTCATGGTGCAGCTTAACATTTAACTATTTTGTCTGTGCTGGGCAGACACATCACGCACGTTGCACCACTGCAAACTCAACCGAGATAGTACAAAAGGGAAGCAGGGCCTAATGCCTCAGCACCTGATACGGAGTGTGGATCTGGAGCAAGTAAGCTTTATCGGGATTCACGCGACAGCTCCAGGGGCAGCTCTCCTCCAGGAAACGTCTCCTGGGAGCGGCAGCGATGCATCAGCGTAGCTGCCAGCCGGGAAGGTGGGCTGCGTGCCTGGCTGGCCTTGACTCCGCGGACTGCTTCCCGCTCAGCTGACCTCAGCAAAAATCAGTGGTGTAGTTCTTCAGAAAACTCAAGTGATCTGCCAGGAAAGGGCTGCAGACCGGACTGCTCGACAGTCCGCAGCAGCAGATGCTGCTTGTGCTATGGCACATTGCACTGTCTGAGGTTGCGTAAACTTTTACCAACCAGTATGCATTAAAGCTCCAGTTTCCAAGTCAAAGCTTGCACAGATAAGCATGCGCACCTACCAAATCAAATGCTAAATTAATCAAATCAGTACAGTTATACCATACTCAGTGGCAATCTAAGCCTGGCAGAAGAAGGCCTCGTTTAAGACAAGACTGATCTCCCTCCACTCGAGGATAATAAATCATATGAAAAGGCCGTTGTGTGCACATCTGCGCAAAAGGCCTTTCAGTCTCCTCGGTTAGCTCACCGCAGAACCCCAGCGGTTGCACGGGCACAGCTGAGGAGACGGTCCAGGGCCAAGGCTGGAAAGTGTCTGTTGAGCGCTACGCTTCCTGCAGGTGCAGGGTAAGTTTGGGCATACATCAGAAAGCCAGGAGATGGTGAAGTGTGGCTTGGTATCAGCAAAATTCACGTAAAGAACAACGCACAGAGCTTTTAGAGTTCAACAGTGCCACTGTGATCTGCTATTTAATTTCAGTGACTAAACAGAAGAAAGTCCTGCAAGAATCCAGCGCTAGCAGCTTTAAAAATGGTACTTTCTACCTCTGGGTTGGGGAAATTCAATTCTTTTATTCGGCATTCAGACATTTAAAAGTCTCCATCTAGTCAAATAATGAATTTCTACAGCACCTTTCATAAAGCACGGCTAGGATTTCTAGTATGCAGTGACTACATTTTTAACACAGTATTAAAAATGCCGCTGCAACGTAGCATCTGTTCAATAGCTTTATAACGCAAGGCACCAGCAGTACACTGACATAAGCTGCAATCCTACGAGGCAGCCAAAATCAAACCACGTGCCTCTAGGAACAGTTCAAGAGCCTCCGCTAGCCACTAGCGGACCGAGTCTCAGCTTAGACGCGGTCTGCAAGATGCGAAGGGAAGGTACTCGGTAACTCCCAGCTACACGCGGGCTGGAAGACAGCGGGAGGTTTGCGGCTGACGGGCCACGGGCAGCCGGCTCCGGCCTCACCTGCGAGCGGCCTC